GGGGGAGAGACTTGCACCATATCTATGAAGCTGCTTGTGCAGTAAAAATGAACATACTGACACTTTGAACAAAGTATTTTTCCAGAAGATATTGGAAGTTTAAAATTCCTTTAGAGGAAGCTTTTCAACTTTGTCAAAAGAACATTTCAATACTTATTCCTCATGTATTAAATTTGAGTTTTAACATGGCGGCTTTGAAAACTTATTTGAGTCAGTACCCTATGGCCAATTAAAAGTTTAGTTTCTTTTCAAGCAACATCAAAACATCTCCTTAAATTATGCAGTCTTTGTTTCCCCTATATTTTTGCCTTTCTTATACATTTACCTGGTTCAAATGGGAGCAGTCCAACAGGAAGAAATGCATTGGCACAAACACAGGCAAGGACCCAACCTCCGAGGCCATCGTTTTCAACCTTTCAATGGCAGCGACATAATCCCTGAGAGGTCGCTCACGACTGACGAACTTTTGAATCTGAGCTTCAGTGGTCAAAGTGTACAAGTAAGCATAAGGCTCATATACTGCTTTGTATCTGAGAAGAATAAATATAAACACGCCCAAGTCAGTATAAACATATAAGACTCTTTATTGCAAACAGAAAAAGCTAAAATGCACAACAGCACTCGGGTAAAAACATTGAGACACACATACACCAACAAGCAGGCATGTGCATTCACATGAACGCCAAATGAAGAGAATACAGTTAAAACTCTCTTAGACAGCCACCCATTGTCGAAGAGAAAAGTGGCCATATTAAAAAAGTGACTGTCTTACACAGTGCCATTTTCATGTAAAAAATACACAGAAGGGAGGAAATGAAAAGTGGCCATTTGTACAGGTGATAGTCTAATACAGGTGGGCGTGACAGCAGTTCAGCTGTATGTACAAGGCACATACTATAAAGACACATTGTACATTTTCAAGAACACTATACTGGTGATGAAGCTATGGAGTATAAAATGAGCAAAGTACAGCAAGCATGTTTCTTTCCATAGAATTTTAAAAGGACAAAGCTGAGAACAAAGCCTGAACAAGAATAAATCCAGTGCAGTCTTTGTTCTCTTCAAGCAGAAAAGAGATCAAAGTTCAAGTAAAAGACAGTCTATTACAATATATGTAATCAAAGGTTTGATCTGAAAACACAAACCAGTTTTAGATGCAAATATTAAAAATTTTATTCTTTACCAGAGACTCAGCCATATTTTTGCCACCCATTATTTTCTTTCTTTAAGAGCAAGAACATCAAAAACATTCCTTAAAGCAACAAAGGTGAGGAATCAATTCTTATTTTCTTTTTGAGGTTTGGGGGGGGGGGGGGGTGGGACCATTGCAAACTAAACTATTATAATATTACATGTTGGAACCAAGAAATACTGCAAAGTTCAAGAAATGTCTTTGATGAAATATTTAAACATGGGCTAAAATAAATGAGATGAGAACAATAAAAAAAAAATGGGAATCCACACAAGAGCTGTCTTACTTTTTTGGCCCATGACTGTTAGCCAGGACAACTGTTCTGATCTTGTCTTTGGCCACCTCCACCAGTTCTTCTTCCACTTCCACAGACAAGATACTGTCAGGCTCCAACTCTTCCACCTGAGGAGAACAGTTAGAAGCATTATCACCTACATGTACACAAACTTTATCTGAACATTCTGGTCAAAAGGATAGGATTCGAGTCATATTAATTTCCCGTACCCTTTTAAAATTGGGAGACATCTTTTTCCAGCTCCCAGTTTAGTTTAGCTTTTGTAAGTGTTTTACGGCACTCGCACTGCATAAGGTTATATGAGCGCCACAAGATAAGAGGTGTTACAAGAGAGTAACAAACACAAAAAAGGAGGGGAGATAGAGACGATAGATTTTTTATAGGAAAGAAGGAGCAAACCACACAAGAACACCCTCCAACCACCCACAGCTCCCAGTTTAAAAACCATCAGTTTTCAGCGCCAGCTATATAACTGTATCCATCAACACTGCAATGGCCATTGTATAAACACAAAATGTTTTTTTTTCATAGGACTGAAACAGAAAATGAAGTAAAGCTAGCATGCACAATACGTGGATGTTTGGACTTTTCAGTCAACTTTAAGTTTGTTCTTCATGGAACTCTTTAACAAAAGCAAGGTGCTCATGAGACTACAAAATACATTCAAGATCAAGACAGTCACGACATGAAAATAGACAAATCCTGTACTGATTTTCAACTTTTTCCGTAACATTTTTTAAATGAGAATACAAGGACAGTTAAAAGAATAATACTATAACAGTGGGGAGGGGGGGGGGAGGAGCTGGTTACCCTTCACAGATCAGATACAATACAACACAAAGCAGTAAAGCCTGAGATGAGCCAAAAAGTTATTTCTTTACTTTTTATATTATGATTAAAGAAGTACAACTTAGACCAACTCAGCTCCTTTCAAGATCTATTTTTCACTAGAACTTAAAGGTGGAAAAAAAATCAAAGAAAACAGTCACCTATTGTCAAGGATAAAAGTGTTTGTCTTAGACAGGTGGACATCTTGAAGTGTCATTATAATATAGAAAAAATATGCAAGGTGGAAGTTGGAAGAGGTCGTTTGTAAAGGTGATTGTCTTGGACAGATGGCCATTAAAGCAAGTTCACCTGTTCTTACAAAAAATTGGTTTTTCATTTCAGAAATTGCAACGACAAAGTAAATCAAATTCCAGCAAGAAGGGAGGAAACTGATGAGGTGTCTTCACCAAAGAGGTTTTATATATATATATATATATATATATATATATATATATATATATATATATATATATATATATATATATATATATATATATGTAATACTACAGCTCGCAGCAGTACATCATAATATGTGTCAGACGTGGGGGACCTCTTACCCTCATTGGCATGTCCGGCATGCCCCATTTACATTAACAATCTGAACCCCCATCATACTCCCTACGAGCTCTAGTATATTAAACACTGCCCTGCCCCAACATTTCAGTGCAGGCTTGTAGACTTCTTCCTTAGACCACTGAGACCCCTCCACGTGAGTCTCAAAAAGTACTCATCTGTCTTTTGAACTACACATGTCTTGCCCTTGAGGTTCAGCGTCCCAGAGTGGGCACACACAGCCCCGTTAATTTATATTGGGGACATCAGTGCCATGAACTCTAGTACTAAGTACTATAACCTCTTTGGTTATCACTTACTGTTTGGAAAAGTCCATGCTCCAGACGTGTGAGTCTGCGCACACTGATCACCATGGTGTCAATTATGAGAGCAAAAAAGTCGCAAATGTCTGTGAAAGCAGGGCGAAATTTGAGGCTGTTATTCTCCAAATCCTCTTCCTGCCAAAAAAAAAAAAAGTGACCTTAAATTTCAGAGTACTCAACATGATTAACTCCTGTGGAAGCTATTGAGAGAAGTGAAATGCTGTGAGTATGACCTTCCGAAAGCAAATAATGCAAATTGTAAAGACACTGCAAAAACACAAGATTGTAAACTATTTTCAGAGTCTGCATAAAAGTTCTTTTCTGCAGACACAATAAATTATACACCTGTCCCAACCAACAAAAAGCTCACATCTTAGCATCTTAAAAATAAGTTATGGGAAAGGTATTTCTTTCCACTTTGCCATCTCATTCCCTCTCAGTAGGCCTGCGTACTGCACTGCAGACTATTATAAGCACTCAAATGCTATTTCTTATGCATTCGTATTTTCATTTTTGTCAATTGCAAAGTGTCTGAAGATTGTGTTCTCTTGCTTAGTTGTCCCCATGAATGAAAGACTCATGCTGCTTAAACCACGAGAGCATACCACTGTAAACAGACAAACAAAGAGAGAGGAAAGGAGACAACTGACCATGAAGAAAGTGACCGGATGTAAGAGTTCAGGCAGACCCAGGTCAGCCATGATGTTGTAGTCTCCCTCATAACTGTTGCCCTCATAGTAGATCTCCACTAAGTCCACCAGATCCTGGATTGAGTTCTCCACACATCGACGCAGAAGGCCGGACATGAGGGAAGCCACGCAGTTGAAGAAACGCTCCATCTTTTCAACTCTCTCTTCCTGCATGAACAGTCAAATATACAAAATTAACCCACCAATACTCTTTACATCAAATCTTTAGCTTTTAATTTGATGAAGTTTTGTGGCCTACAAATATATCATCCACTAGCATCAGATTTCCAGAGTGAAACTTTAGCATAGTTTACACAGCCATGAAGCAAGCCAGAGAGTGAGTGTAAAGTGAATGCAACATCCTATAGTACCTCTATTGAGGTGGTAAAGGATACCAAAGCTACCACAGGGCAACTGCTTGAAATGAACAGGCAAACTTATTTTCTTGCCACCCACATACAGTAGCCATGTTCAATCTTGTATTAATGTTATAAGGAAATTACAATTTGTTAAATCATTCTGAAAAAAATGGCTAAAACAGCACCTGGACATGCATGGCTGGTGCCTCTATAAATAAATCATTGATGGTCTGGTCTGGTCTGAAAAAAATGTCCATGCTAGTGGAAAGATCACACATGGAGGGAGGGAGAACAAGCTAAGAGGTGAAAGAGATTAAGAGATTAAAAAAGCAGAAAAAAAAATACAACAAAAACAACACAAAAGAAAGAACATAATGGAGCATGTACACAACAAACTACCATCCTTGCACATTTTCTTAGTGGACAACAAAATAACCCAAGCAGTAGTTCCTGTGAAATACTTTGAAACAAAGCAAGACTTCTGGAAGTAAGATATGTGGCACGACATGGTGGAATCAGGCACTCATCAATTTTTGGGCATATAGGGTTATTGGTATCATTTCAAAGCCTGCTCATTTGCCTTGCTTTTGGTGAAAAAAAATCCATCTATGTTGATTAGAGAAGTTGAGATATTTGCGATTGAAGGAGGTCAGGGTCGCCTGGCTTGAGAGGTAAAAATTAGTGAGAAAATGGCATCAAAGTTTGGTAACTTCCACAGCTTGAGAGTCCTTTAAAACTGAATATTGACAATTTTTGTGTCTTTAATCAATGCTTTTCAAAAATCCACACCGAAATGCGTTTTTAAATGGACGTAAAAGATGTTGATCCAAAAAAAGAAAAGTAGGAAAAATTGCCCAATGGCCTGAAAAATGCCAGTTTTTTTTACTTCATCATTTTGACCCAATTTTGACGAGCGCCTGATTTCATCACAATGCCTCACATATTTTAACATCAACAGCCTTATCAAAGATGAACATGAAATTGGAGGTCCTGTCCGTTTTAAAATATTCTAATAGTGATGTTAAGTTCTGATAGTGCTATAAAGAGCATACAATTATACCACAGCACTTCTCTCAGGAGACTGCTGAAAATATCTTGGAGGGAAAAGAAATCAAATGAGGCAGTGCTTCATGAAATCTATGTGGGACGCTCAGTTATAAAAACAATCAGGAAAAGACAAATGCAGTTTTTGGAACACCAGAATAGACAGGAGGGTCTTGAACATCTAGCTCTCTCTGGCAAAATTTAAGGCAAACAAGGCAGGGGTAGGCCCAAAGCAACCTACTTAGAGAAACTAAACAGATGGGTAATGGGGAAAGATCAGGGTAACGTAGCTTTTTTAAGAGCATCCGAACAAAGGAATGAATAAAGAACCATGATCACCGGTGTCTGCCCCAGATCTGGCACTTGATGATGAATATGATGATATCAAAACATGGAACTGAATCTGCTTTCATACAGAATCTTTAATAAAAATAGCCCTTACACTTTGTGGGGGCATCCATGCCTCCACCTCATCCCTCATGTCATCGATCAAATTGCTGCACTCCATCAGCCACTCTCTTTCCAGAAATTCCGCTGCTGCTTTGCTAGAAATCTGCACCTGCTTCAAGAATGTTTCCATGGTGATGGGCATTTGTTTTCTCAAGCCTGGAATGTCAATCAGTCGGAAATCACTGTACCTGCGGATTTTAACAAATCCATTAAATTCAGTGTAATACAACAAGACAACGGTTATATGTGTCACAGATTGGGATGGCATGAGATTTTTAAAATTACATCATAAGCTGTAATATAACTATGGGGGAAGTCAGTGATTATTGTAATGAAACAAAGAGATAAAAATAAGCTGGGGAGGGTAAACGTAACCCACACTTATTGCGATAAAACTATTCCTCAGACACAAGAAATGTTGGGGTTATTTAAAACTTAGAACCCATCAATAGGACTAAAGGTAGAAAAGGCAGAGTTATGAGCAGAACAAAACCAGAGAACCAAGTCCCTTATCAGAGGAAAGAACTAAACAGAAAGCAGAAGTACAATGAATAATTCCTGTCGATCACTTTGTCATGTAACCTGAGATATGCATTTACACAATAACAAAAAAAATCATTCAAATTTCTGAAGAATGAAGCAACAAAGAAACAGTATTCTGTTATTCCTATTTCTTGAGATGGGCTTATCATCATTGTAGGTTTTGTTGGTCAACTTATTTTTCCAATTGTCTAAAAATTAAATGGCAGTGTCTAAATACCTGAAGCTGTAAAATGCTTGGTATAGTTTTTTCTTTATAGTTTCTTCAACAAACAGTACCGATTATTTTAGCCTTTAAACTATACTTATTCTAAATTTGTTGTTGTGAAACTTGATTTATCTATCAATCATATTCTAGACACAACAACCGTTGACTTTATTTCCATTATGCCCTTGCCACCTGTGCAAACAGCTTTTAGCCATGAATTTCCCCAGCCACTTGCTAGTTTTACGGAGTGAAGTCCGCTTGCTACTTGAGCTAGTTGCAAAACCAAATTCAAAAAGCTAAAGAACAGTTAATTGTTGTTTCCCAGGGCAGTAAACGGACTAAGACTCCACACAGAAAAGGGGTTTGAAAAACAATCATCTTCATTTGTATGGAATTTCTTAAATAGTGTTTTTACACAGAATACCCATCAGCATATTGAAATTGAGTTTTTTTTTAAAAAGAAAAGAAAAATCTCAGACTAAAGCACTTAAATCTATTACTTGTGCCTGTACACAATTATTTTATTTTTAAAAAGACCCTAAAATGAAAGATTATATGAAACATTACCTGCAATTGTCTCTCAGTTATATTATTCTCAAAGTTCAAGAGGGTTATTATTCTCAAAGTTCAAGAGGGTAAAAAAAAAATTATGAGAAAAAGGATATGTAGACTAGTATCCCTAAATATTTTTTAATCAGTTCACTGGAGAAATCAACTTACCTGTATTCAAAATTGTAGAGGATGTGCCTCATAATTGGATGAGTCAAAAACAAATTCTGTGAAATGTATTCTTTGTTTACATTCAAGCTGTCATGCCATGGAAAGCCATCTCGTCCTGCAAGGTTAGAAGGCTGCAAAAACACAACAGAAAAAAATTGAACATTACATGGGACATTTGTCATTCTTTCTAAACTGATTCTAAAGATCTTTGGCATGAATAACTCAGATGAACTAATTTTGAAACGAGGTGCAAATCCAACACACCTACAAATTTGAAAAGTAAGAAAAAGAAGTCGCCTAAAGAAAATAATAAAGATAATTGTGATTTGCACTAATTTTCAGCTATGGCTCATATGTCCTCAATAATGAGAACAATTGATAAAGCTCCATTCTTTAAAAAAAACCTCGTAAGATTGAAAAGCAAGACATTTATAAGTGGAAGCACTGACAACATACAAACTGATTGCTGGAATACATGAAAAACACAAATAAAGAAAACATTTCATAGAAATTAGAACTGCGCCACTTACTTTGACTGGCATTGGTAGTCCTAGTCTCTCCTGCTCTGCAGCGTCCAACAAAATATAGTCCAGGATAGCTATTCTCACTGAAGCTCTGTAGTCAACATCCATCTCCTGCGAAGGGATGCATGATGAAATATAAGAATAAATTTATGACAATGTAAAAAGCTACCACTAGTGTAAAAACCTAAAACAGAACTATATGGAACAACAACTGAAAATGCAAAGCCAGCAAATAAATGTTTCAAAAAGATTATTCATTTAATTTAACATATAATTTGTCATTTCTAACCAACTAGATAAAATACATTTTCCGACCATGTGCAGGGCCGGACATACATTTATATGGCTTCAGTGGTTGAATCAACACTTTGCTAATGAGCTCTGCACACCACATTCTCATGTTGTTTGCAACTTTCACAAGTATGCATTGATATTGTATGACCATCAACTTTCTTCATTTCGGAGGGAATTTAAAGCAAAAATGGAAATTCATTTTCAAAACTGAAAAAAAATTACCCTGAGAAACGCTCTTGTGGCCTGTGGAAAATCAGAGCGCAGATGCCTTGGTACAAATTTATAGACACCAGCCAAGGTATCTTTAGTGATGGGACCAACCATGCCTGGATCAATGGCTCTGTCTGCGAGGGCATAATACCTGAAAACCAATGATAAGACACAATACAATTATGGCTAATGAAAATCAGAAAACTAAGATCAGAAGAGAAGAAAACAATGTTCTTAATTCACATACCACTAATAGTCCATTCTCAGCAAAACGCAAAGAAATAACTAATGTGAAATATAATTATCTACTTAAAGAAATAAGTAATCATTGCCAATATCCAATTCACCAGTGTTTTGTCAGCAGATTTAAAAGAAGGAGTGAGCACACTTATTTTGTACCCCATTTCATTTTTGAATTTACATTTTCATTTCTACTTGTCAGATTATTTTCTCACCACCTTATAGGCCGACTTAAGTAGGAAGAAATGATGTGTGATGCGTCTCTAAGAGGAACATAAAGATGTCTCACAAAGTTGAACAATACTGTATGAACGATAGGCGATAGGATGTTGCCTCCTTATTTTCATTTTCACCATTTCTATTACTTTTAGATACTTCTTGTCACAACTTAATTAAATCCATAAGGCAAGATTTAAAATTACTGACATCTACTATGAAGAAGCAGAAGTAACAAAGAGTCTCCAATCCTTACATATATCTTTTTGCAAACTCTCCGCTGTTTTAAGTATTAAAAAAAGAGGTGCCAACTGTGCGTGGTGGGAAAGGGGGGAGGGAGAATCCTTTCCTTTCGCCGTAACATCTAAGAAGTCAATCAAATACACTGTATATATGCTTTAATTTATTTCTGTACCTCTCTTTCTGATCAGGTTCCGGCGAGGCTGCACGAGACAAGCCATGTGTGGAGAAATAGTACGGAGGAAATTCAATTTCCAGGACATCCAACGTATCCTCGTCATAACACGGTGTTGAGCCACGAGCAACGTTGTCCTCACCATGGTCCTCAGCCTCAGATCCTGCATCATAACCGTCCTCAGATCCATGTTGATCCTCTGAAGTCACAAAAACCATCAAGAGTCAATCTTTATTCCCATAACTATTCATAAAATGTAAACCAATTTTTTTTTGGTCTTTACCAAACAAGGTAATTCATGAAAAACACAATTTTTTAAAAATATATAAATTTTCCTTTAAGCCCCTCTTCTTATTATTAGGTAATTTGTTCGGTTGTTGTTGTTATTTTTTAATCTCTCATCCAGCCATGTCAAGATACTCTCTCCAAGCTGGGTCCTTGGTTTTTCTTATTGAGCCTATAAATAGCTTTTCAGCTGACAAAACTGTTCATATCTGCAACCACAACCTATTATGCAATTACAGTATATAAAAAAGTTAATCTCATATTTCTATACAAGAATATGGTTCTCAATAGTGAAAACAGATCTTTTCCCTACAACATGTAAACAAAACAATAATATGAATATAAGTCATCAGATTATGATAAATGGTGTTGATCAGAAATTTCAAGTAGTTTTTAAAATAACATCTTTTCTCTTCTTACTTTCAAACCAATACACCAAATGGATCCTTTGCCATTCATACATTCACAAATACTTAAAAAGCAATTTCTTCGGAGAAGAAAAGACTCATATGAAGCCTCAAATATATGATCGTTCAAGGTCCAAAGTTGAAGACTTCATGACTCACCGAGAAGATCGTGCTCTGGCACCGTTTTCATCCCGGGTGTGAAGCCACTGGAGGTCGGAGGGACACCGCTGTCGTAGCTGCCTGTCTCAGAGGAAGGGCCTCCAGACCGCGCTGTACTGGGACCTCCTTCAGCGTCCTGCTCAATCCAGTCTGAAGTATCATCTTCCTCAAAATCGTCTTTCCCAGCACTATAACCATTTTGATGCAAGGAATGGATTCCTAATATTCAAGACAGGAAAAAAAAATTCCGATCTGTTAAAACATGGCTCTGATTAAACTGACACGAGTAGATGGGCTTACAGGCACACAAACTTGAGAATAATTTTTTTTCTTTCACTGTAGGCATACACAATATTTTTCATTTTGGAGGCAGGCTTTGCCCCTGTTTGTCTGAAAAAACCTGGGTCAAGAGTGTAAACAAAATGTCCCAGGAGAAAGACTGAGATACTCAATAAAAATTCTCCCCAAACAGAAATCGAACTCAGGTGTTCTGTATGTGGTAGCGGAGCACCTAACCCCTTGTACGGGTGAGAGAAGACAGCATAAATTATTATAAATGACATAAATTATGACGGTGCCCAACAAGCATTTGGAAGGGGGGGGGTATCTATATTTCAACACTGAACCTACATTTGGTAAATCAGATAGAAAGTGCTACTTTACGCATAGGTTTTTATATTTCAACATGTAATATCAATCCTTTTATACCTTTTTTACACCTTTTGTTTTGCTTAATAGCAGGCTGTCTAAAAAAAATTTCCATTCTGTGAGGGGAAAGGGGGAGGGGAGGGAAATGGACTTGGTTCAACTGCAGTCGTTATCAAAAAACTGTCTGTTGCTCTATTATATCGTCGTAGCAGGTCTTTACAATGCAAGTTGTGCTTTTAAGACCCAGAGGGATAAGGTCATATTTCCCTCTGAACAGGTTCATTTGACCAATGGTCATCCATCCCTTTTAAGATACACACCATTACTGAGACTCCCGTTTCTGTTGATTGGAGGGAGAACTTCTCGAGTGGGAGTTGGACTCCGAATAGGGGAGAGAATATCTCCGTTCTCGCTCAGAGTTCTGTAACTTGATCCATCCACATACACGGAGCTGGTAGAGCTGAAGGGAAAACATTAATAATGAGTGGCAGAGTGGAGGCTCAAACATCGAGTTGTCTAAAAGTTAAAGTCGAAATTGTCTAAGAAACGGACACCAATTATTGAAGAGATAAGTGTGGTTGTCTTAGACAGGTGGAAATCTTAAACAGTGTCATTTAATGTTTAAAAAATGCAAGGGGGGAATGGGAATTGGTAGTTTGTACAGGTGATTGTCTTACACAGGTGGCCATTAGAGCAGGTTCGAATGTATTTGGGGGCATTGAAGAAAGGTGCATTTTCCAGAGAGCTTTATAAAAGATGTGCAGGCGACGCACATGCACATTACACCCCAACTCAAGGAGTACACTCAGTAGACTACTTCATATAATGTTACAACTTAGTCTCTGACTTCCCTCCCCCCGATCTCTCTCTCTCTCTTTCTTTCTTTCTCTGTCATTCTCTCTGTCACTCTCTCTCTCTCTCTCTCTCTCTCTCTCCCTCTCCCTCTCCCTCTCCCTCTCCCCTTGCTTGTGTAGGCCTATGTGTATAAGCAGTTGCATTTTTTGACGTGTGTATATGTGTGTTTAAGTGTGTGTTTTGATTTAATATTTTAAAACAGAAACTCAGTAAGCTGTTGCTCCTTATGTATGTATGAGTTTCTGGGTAAGTATGTGTGTCTGTGTGTGAGTGTGTACTGTGTGTGTGTGTGTGTGTTTGTGTGTGTGTGAGTGTGTGTGTGTGTGTGTG